TTAAGTTCTAGTTGGGTTTTGGCCCTTCTCATTTTTTCCCTGCATAACCTCAGGACATCCTTGTAGTCCTCCCGAGTTGCCTGCCCCTTCCTCCAAAGGCCATGAACTCTCTGCTCAGCCAGGTCTGTCATCTTCCCCACCAGCTCATCTTTCGGCACACGGGGCTGGCCTGCTCCTGCACCTTTTAAGATTTCCTTCTTGAAGAATGTCTGCCCTTCCTGGGCCCCCTTCCCCTTCAGGACTGCCTCCCAAGGGACTCTGTCAACCAGGCTCCTGAACAGCCCAAAGTCTGCCCTCCAGGAGTCCAAGGCAGCAGTTCTGCTGACCCCCTCCTTACTTCTCCAAGAATCAAAAACTCCATCATTTTGTGATTGCTATGCCCAAGATGGCCTCCAACCATCACATCACCCACAAGTCCTCTGTTCACAAACAACAGGTCCAGCGGGTGCCCTCCCTAGCCGGTTCCCTCACCAGCTGTGTCAGGAAGGTCTCTTCCACACTCTCCAGGAACCTCCGGGACGGTTCCCTCTCTGCTGTATTTCCAGCAGACATCCCCACCTTGTTTGGTTCCACTTGCAGAGCCTCATACCTGTTATGCAAGGGCACCTGGAAAGGCGAGGTAGTCCCAGAGGAGACAGGCCTGCTGCGCGGGGCAGAACTGGTCACCATTGCCCCCTATCCCTTGAGTCACCGCGTTCAGCCAGGCAGAGAGAGGACAGGGAATCCTCCATATCATGCGTCCTGTCTGCCTGTCTGGCCTGTCCCAGGGAAGGCAGGGTGCCATTCCAGGAGTCTCTCTCTCTCTCGGACTCCCTGATACTCCTGAAGCTACTCATCTCCTCCCAGAGCTCTGTCAGGAAGCTGAGGAGCTCTTCTCCCCGAGCATACCTCCCACCCCTGTGTCCACTGCTGCCGTCCTGTACTGGCACAAGAACATGGCCCAGCCTGCAGCCTGGCACCGGGGCGGCAGCGTGTTCCCGCCAGAGCCCTGTCTGGGACACTGCCTCAGTCCTGGTGGGTGCAGAGCTTAGAGAGGCCAGGGCTTTCTCCCTGGTTCAGCTGGCAGAGCTTCAGCACCCTTCCTGCATGCCCTTCCACACGAATGGCGGTGCCATGCCCTGTTTGCTGGTGCTCCCCAGGGGCTTCTTTTATGGGGGCAGGGGAGGCCTTGGCTGCTGTTGCTCCTGGCCCTGCTCAGATCCTGTCAGCCGCTGTGACGTGAGCTGCGGGCTGTGGGCTCCTGGCAGCTCTCTCGGCTCCCCTGAGGGTCCTCCGGTTCGGGAAACCGGAGCTGGTCGCCTCGGCATGTTATCGGGGCATCTGAAAATCAGAGCTGTTGTGCTCCCCAGGAAATCGCGAAAGGTTCATTCATACTCAGCTGTGGTAACTCGGTGCGCGTTGCCTCCATCTGCTGCCTCAGCCAAAGACACTGGGACAGCCAGCGCAAGTGAGGGTAGGTTAGTTAGCAGTATTAATGACAGTTGCAACACAGACTGTAACTAAATAAGAAGCCAAAGCCAAAGCAGCTAGTGGCCTAATTCAAGAATAGCCCAAGCATCCTTCATTCCTACTGGCAAAACACGAATGTGGTTAGTACCTTAAAGGCTACTTAGCCCTTTGCAGGACCAGGCCTAAACATGAAGATCTACAGCAGAAAGCTGTTTTACTCTGGGGTTTTGGGGTTTTTTTGCTCACTGGGTGGGTGTTGCTTCAATTGCTGTTTTGAAGGTCTTTGATTAGTTGTACTACAAAATACAGCAACAAATACTCCATGCAAATGCTTTTTCTGAGTGAAGCCACATTGCATCTTTCTTTCAGAAATGAATAAATAAACCACAAATTGCATACTTCAACTATTCTGCTCCCTTACAAATCAGTTGACTAGTCAAGCACAATCCTGAGTCACATCCAGGATTCCCCCTCTCCCAGCAACTCGGAGGTGCGTTCAGCAGTGCCCGCTGTGAACAGGATAGCAGAAGGCAGGCTGGCTTGATGCCTCTAAATATTTCTGCAATCCACACTCCATTTCACACGTTTTTTCCCTTGCTCAGTGCAGAACTCCAGGTTTTAAAGTGCTTTCTTCCAGAGCTGTCTGCTGCACTGGCTCCTGCATAACTAAACTGTGGAAGTTGTCACCCACTCCTGTTGGCCTCAGTTTCCATGGGAGAACTCGGGTGCCTAAAAGACACTCACCTGTGCACCAGCCTGCGGAGCAGCCCGGCTCCCTCCCCCTCTGCTGAGAGCGGTGCAGATGCTACTAACCTTTCCCAGGAGCTACAAGATGACCAGGAGAGTAGGCATCCTCAGAAGTGACACCACCACTCAGCTCTGTTTTGTCCTTCTCTACTCCCGCACAGACTCAAGATGGCTAATCCCACCAGTCTGCGCATTTCACGGCATGGCTACGATTCACCTCGGGAGCAGCCCACTGCCAGTTTGGCTCTGATATGGGATGATTAGTCCGGTCCCAGGACGAGGCAAGCACCCAGTGCTGGTCTGCTGCTGCTTGCTGCTACAAGCGCCTTCTTCCAGCCTGGGTCTGCGGATGCTGAGGCTGCTCTGTGCTCTGCAAGGGGTCTGCTCGGCTCAGCACCAGGCAAGGCTAGGCCCGCTCTCAGCCCACATTTCTCTTACAGCTTTGCATCAGACGAGCCCTTTCTGAGCACACTGACTGATCTTTCTGCTTTCTCATTTTAGTAAGACTCTCATCCAGGCAAACAGATTACAATTAGTTATACAAAACAAATTGTCAAGAACTGAAACACTATATATTCACAGTTGAAAGCCTGTATCTCAACAGGATGTTTTGTCTGCCCCACTCTTGATGTGTTTTTGGTTGGAAATACAATTTCACTTTCTTCCTCATCTAGAAGTACCATGACTGGGCAAATACCAGTGAGTGGGTTGTATTCAAAAGGCAGTGCAGTCTGGAGCTTATGAATGAAGGAGACCCTTCTCCAATTCCAAACCATACCAAAAAAAACATAAAAGGGACTTTCTGTCTTTAAGAAACAACTGACAATTTAAAAGTGAATGTACAGCTTATTCACAGGGTGAGAAGGAAGGGAATCTTCCAACTGAATTTGCTTTACCTTGGAAATGGTTGAGGCAGCAAAGCATTTTCAGTCATTACCTCTCTGTCTTAAGCCCTGTTTCATCTTAAAAATAAATTAGGGAGCCAGAAAGCAGGAAGAAGACAAATGATAATTTTCTACTCCTTGAGGGACTGGGTTGTTCTCCCTCCTACCACCATGACTGTGACCGTTGGTTTGTTCATCCATCCATCTGTCCTGCAGCACAAGAGTTGAGGTTTTATAAAGTTTTTATTCTCAGTCCTGCTCTGAGCTGGCAGGGGAGAAAGCCGGCCTGAAGCACTAGCGGCTGCTGTTCTTAATCGCTTCCTTTGCCGCAATGATCAGAGGAGTCAGGCTGGAGAGAGGCTTGGCTAATTTTAAAAACGGATGCTGCCCAAAGGAGAAAAAAAAAAAAAAAAAAAAAAGAAATGAACCATTACTTTCTAAACTCAGTTACTCACAGGCTCAAGCAGTATTCCTCTGGTTACTAGGAATACACAGAAACAGGACTGAGGGGACCATCTGCACCTGTGTCTTCATGTCCAGTACCTTGCTATCACAGACAAACATGGCCCATAATCCTATTAATCCATTTATCAAGGTGTCTTTAGTTTTCTGGGATTTTTGCCCTGCCAGCACTCTGGGAATGCTGCTTGCTGTCCCAGGGCCTTGTTCCTTTCAGGAAACTTGAAATACTTAGGTTCCCGTTTTCTAAAGACATGGGCTATTTTAGTTGTCAAAAAAGATGAGGGGTACAAATCATTCCTCAGGAAACTCCCATACCTCTAGGAAACATTTATCCCAGTAGTATTTAGGTCCATGTGCTCTTCTGAAGGCCACTGAGGTACAGGGTTTCAGCACCAAGACAAGAGCAGGGAGATGAGTGACAGAGTGCTGATAGAGCAGCATCTACCATCCCATCCCCTGCCCCTCCTGTGCAGGCTGGCACCTTCGCAGCAGGGACAGCCAAGCGGCACGTGCTGCAACTCCCTATCTGCCACAAAACCTGGCAGTAAACCTGTAGCAGTTCTCATCTACTCACCTGTGCAGGCAGCAAATGGAGCTGTGACAAGTCCCACTCAGCTGTCCCTGTTTTGGTGGCAGAAACCTCTAAAAGTGGGGCTCAGCAGCAGAAACCTCTAAGAGTGGGGCAGGATGGACAAGCCGGGGCTCACAGTGAGCACCCCACAGCCCCTTCCTTCTCACAGCCAAATCTCTGACCGCTTGGCTTGACTGATTTCACTGGGTTCCTCCTTGGTCAAATCTCTGTATACAGTCATCGCCAACACTATTTCAGGCCTCTGTGCCTGGTATCATTCCACCTCAGTTATTTTGCCACCATGTACAACTGAGTATACTACCAAAATACAAAATAGGGCCACAAAAACGATCAGAGGGATGGAACACCTCTCCTATGAGAAAAGGCAGAGAGCTGGAGTTGTTCAGCCTGGAGAAGAGAAGGCTCCAGGGAGACCTTACTGCAGCCTTTTGATACTTAAAGGGGGCTTATAAGAAAGATGGGGACAAACGTTTTAGTAATGCCTGTTGCGATAGGACAAGGGGTAATGGTTTTAAACTAAAAGAAGGTAGACTGAGACTAGATCTAAGGAAGAAATTTTTTACAATGAGGGTGGTGAAACACCAGAACAGGTTGCCCAGAGATGTGGTAGATGCCCCATCGCTGGAAACATTCAAGGCCAGGTTGGACGGGGCTCTGAGCAACCTGATCGAGTTGAAGATGTCCCTGCTCATTGCAGGGGGATTGGACAAGATGACCTTTAACGGTCCCTCCCAACCCAACCCATTCTATGATTCGACTTATTTTTCATTTGAACAGCACCAAGATTGGAGACTAATAGAATGAGGCTCCATCTGATGCCTTGAAGTTTAGCTGACGAGAAAACCATTACATAGTACAGCTGTTTCACTTGCAGCTGCTTTGCGTTTTACCTGGAGAAGTTCCTTGGCAGACCCTCGCCTGTCCACGTCCATCTCCAGGCAGCAGTTCAGAAAGTCGCGAAACACGGCAGACAGTCGCTCGGGGTTCTGCAGCTCTGGTGTCCCGTTCGTAGCTATCAGATACAGCGCCTAGAGAAAAAGGAAACACGAGACTCCACCTGTTTTTCATATCCATAACTGCTCATATAGACCCCATTTTTTAAAGTCCAGTCTTCAGTGGCAGTTTCTTCCTTGGCAGAGGGCTAGAGACAATTTTTCTATGCCAACAAAAAAATCCCTGATGCAGCCACAGCTATTCCAACATCAAAATGATCTTGCCTTGACAGCTGATTTCATTGGCTGACCTAGTTAGTACGAACTACATCAGCAAAAGCACATTTTGCATCTCCAAGTATTGACACTAGCTTTACAGGCTATTTTAAAGAGTGAATTTGGTCTAACTATATTATTTCAAAGGGTTATTACATAAAATGCATGTCTGCAGTGCTCACTGGTCCTTAAAGTAAAGCTTCCATAAAACAAAGGTAGTCAAGATTTTTGCCGTCTTCTTGATAAAAATGGTAACCAGATGAAAAAAAGTAAATCCAACAGCTTATTCCTTGGATAAAGAAACAGAAACATTTGGAACCTCATTTTCAACACAGACATGTAAGTTGCATGCACGAATGTATTATGAAGAAAATGTATAACTGGGCAGACAGGAGCTACCTACAACTATGTCTTTCAGTAGTCTCCAAATTCCAGATCAGCTTCATCTATGTGGTAAAAGAAAAAATTTTAATGGTCTAATCAGAAAAATGAGTAAATCCATCCCTATGGTAACGCTGTGCTAATTTTGATACTCAAATAAATATATTAATGATGTCCCCATCGTGCTAATTTTGATACTCAAATAAATATATTAATGATGTCCCCATCCCAGAAATTGCCAGGGAAGAAACAGGAAGTTTTGGCACTTGGGTTATTGGACGCTCAGGCTTGGTAACATGGAGAAAGTGGTTTGGACTATGAAAGAAATATGTTCACTAAGTATTTCAGCAAAAATGGACAAGAAGCAGAACAGACTATGTTGCCTTTAAACGTCATGTTTCAGACAAGCTTTCCAGTGAGAAGAATTGGTGGGTAGGTCACCTCTCAAAACCACCATTTTAGAAAAGTGGGGTTTTTTTGGTTTTTGGGTGTTTTTTTTAAGGAAAGATAATGTTAGATCTGTTACACTTGTTTCATGTTTTCAGGGTCATCTTCACAAACAGAAGAGCTGGAACAACTCAAAACCCAAAGCAAAGTGTTACCTGACAACTGGGAGTATTTGTCTGTGTTAAGGGTTGAGTCCTCTGTGAACTCTTTTCCATGCCGTGCATAAACATCCAGCTGCTCATCTGAATGTGCAGTCATTCTCTGCACAAAGGCCTATCCACACACTTGAATATTCCAGTCTTTCTCCTCCTCAATAGCATCTAGCCTAAGCTAAGCTTAAGTTTCTTAAGTAAAGCCAAGGATGCTCACTTCCATGCAGCTGACAGTGTTCATGCAGCTTAGCAAGTCTCCCTCGTCTTCCTCAGGCCAAGGAATTATAATGTAATTTTGCAAAACATAGGGTGAGCATTATCCAATGTGGTTCACTTGTGACCAAGGTCTAACATGCAGAGAAGCTAGAGAGATGAGTTCATCCTGCTTTTCCAAGATGTTATTTAGAAACATGAGACAAATGTTTTGAACTATTCAAACTTAAACTTGCAGACTATGTCTACAATACACAGTAATAATAATAAAAATAGGCCTAGGAGTCTTCCATTAAAATGTCTGCCATGATAATAACAGCTCTGCGCTACTGGCATTTAAATAGACCGTGACCAAGTTGACTTTGTTATTGTCCTCTTAAATACAGAGGAAAATTTCCAAGCCTAAAAAGGCAAATGAACCATCTTGAGTAAAAACAATAAAAGGAAGTTTCTTTACTTTTCCCACAACATAAATGTCACAAAATCAAGTTTATCCTGTCCATCTGCAGCTGACCTGAGCCACTGGACACAGTGGTGAGCTGGAGTGCCTGTCCTCACTATGTTTAAATTGTGCTACCCAAGGGACGTTCCTTCTCCTGGGGTAAAGGCATACAGCACCAATGTCAACCTTGGAAATTTCATGCCAGGTACATTCACCTCACTGTGAAACAGGAGTGCCAGGACAAATGGAGCTCTTCTAGTTGCTCGTTTCTTCACAGAACATGGATCATGAGGAAGAGCCATCTTTAGCTAGGTACTGAACCTCTTAAATCTCTCTACGACAACAGAAGAGGGTCTATGGGAAGCTGCAGTACACTCTTATCATGTATCTTTTGGTTTCCTATGATACAGTCAGCAAAGAAAAACAAGCACCGTATAAAGGAAATGAGTGTTTGCAGTAGCTGCAAAGGGGCAATAAGCTCATTAATTTGTTTAACATACCAAGAAACAAGAAAGGATTCGGCATACAATTATAGCTGCAGTCTGTGAAAATGATATCCTGAAGTTATCCACGCCACCCAGATACAGGACAGAACAATATACAGATGATTTAGAAGCCTGAAACTGTAAAAGATCCACAGCATTTGGAAAATATGCTACAGTTTTGAGGAAAATTGATGCGCTGTGGTTAACAAATGAAAAAGCAAACAGAAATGCTTAGTTTGGTTTGTTGTTGGCTTTTTTAAAGTTGAAACGGGGGAGGTCCAACCTGCATCTCAAAGGATATTTATCGGACCAATGTTTGTCCCTCAGGCCCTAGGCATATGTCTGATGGAAGGAAATCACAGTGAGAGAAAATAAATACCATCACAGAAATATCCAGGACACTCATGGCTGGAAAATGGTTCATTCCTCTGAGTTCTGCATAGGCTGGAAAGAACCTGAGCAACATGGGATGCATTTGCTCTACACGTGGAAAACAACAAATGCATCTACATTAAGACTGGTGTTAACTCTGTGATTAATGATCCTTTAATGCCCTTATAATTCATTTATGTATTTAAATTAGTGTCAGTAACCGAAGCTCCTGTGTGCCTTCCGTTATTAACAATCATTCACAAAAATGAAAGAGCATCCTTTTGTTTCCAGGCTTTGCAGAATTCCCTGAATGTGGCCTAAATGTGACTACTAAAAGCAACAACTACTGTGTGCCATCAGATAAAAAAAGCTTAGCTGTAAAAACAGGTCTTACCTACAAGCTCTCCTGTTTGGATGCAGCTGAGACCTCTCACTGAAGTCTCTGATTCCACATACAACCGCAGATGGATCCTGTCCCTCTTGGGGTTGATTTACCTTAATAAAACTAGCTGGTAACTGGGGAACATCAGGCGGTCCATCACAAGCTGTTCACCGTTCCTAGCTCAGGGGCAACAACCTCTGCAAAAGACTCCAGGAAGCTAATACAGATGGTACCAACTTCAGATGCCTGATTTTAATCTACTGCAATTTTACTCAGACACCTGAAGATGCCTTGAAGCTCAAGTGTTGGAGTTGATCTTAACTCCAGCAGGAAATGAGGCATGTATGGAGAAAAAGAGCATCTCAAATAACCTGGGTAAGGGCAGGAATAGCTGAATGTGAATTTGGTCAGGGAGAAGAAATCCAGTTGTCTTTCTAACAGTTGACCTGAGGCTTCTTGAGGAGCCCTAATCAACATCTGAGGTTAAGGAAGCAGGGAATTTTCAGCATGCAGACCAGTCATGCTAATTATCTTCATCTGGTTTTGCTGCCTTATACAAGGCAAATGCATTTTTTACAAGAGTCTTCCATAGAAGCAAGTGGAATATAGGGTCCTCCTCTCTTTGCAGGAAACTGAAGCAGAACTGGTGATGTACAAAAGTCTCTGCTGGTAAAACTGGGCTGCAGTGACACAGGCCTACTGCCACCCTGCCAGCTATGCTGCACTCTGCTTATTCAGCATCAGTCTGAATCCAAACCTGTTTCTTTCTTATCCGCCCTCACAAGGTGGCAGAGCACACACCGCTCCATGTGTGCGCACTGGCACCAGAAACCCCAGGGCACCTACTGAACCAAAAGAAGTCTTCCAAGAAGACTCAGGAACCTTTTTTCACAAAGTGTAGAAGATTGAACTTTGTAAAATTGTTGTATTCCTTTCTTAAGTAGCACAGCTGAGGGTATTCCCTGACCATTCTGTTCTTTCTTCTTTCAGTCTGCAGTACCCAGTCTGGGTGCCATAGACCAGAGAGAGCACAGCCTTACTGCTATGAGAAAAGCTAAAGGTCATGCTCTATTTTAATTCTAGCCTTAACAAAAATTACATATCTATACACACAGGTCAAAATTAATTTCCATATAAACTCCTGCATCCTATCGGGAATTAACTGTGCAGCATTTAACTTTGTTTCAGCTATCAGTCATGAGGTTTTATCTTGGTATACATTCCTCCATTATTACAAGCTCATTTGGTATACGAAGTGGTCATTTCATTTTAAGGAATTAGGATAAAACTGAAAACTTCAAAATATTAAAAATACATTAGTTTACTACAAGTAACTGTGCTAACACATACTTCTAGAAATGTATTTGTTAATAAAGAATTATGGCACTACTATAACGAGTGACACTTCCTGAAAGGTTCAGATAAGCAATCGGCACTCATCTGAGTTTGGAAAGACTTCTCTGCCTGCAGATACAGTTGAAATGCTTTTCATAAAAATTCCCCAATTGGAGAAATGTGCAGCTGAAAAATTCTTGTCATTCAGAGATACAGCTCAAAGAGAGTTCCAAAACCGCATGAGAAATTTCAAGCATCGAAAATGGCACATTTCTGAACTGGCTACATGTCACTTCTCTTTTGAGGTTCTCCCATCAATGTAACCAAAGTTACAGTATATGCTGATATGCTCCAGTGGCATTTTTAGAAGCGGGCCTTGGTAGAACTAGTTTAAGCTGATGTGACTGGGATTTTGTCTCATGGGACAGATTAGAAAGACAGTGGTATCTGATTTTATTTGCACCTTACCCTGAGAGGATTTTCATTAAGGTAAGGAGGTTCTCCTTCCACCATTTCTATTGCCATGATCCCAAGTGACCAGATGTCCACTTTGGGGCCGTATGCTTTTCTCGTCACCACTTCTGGTGCCATCCAGTAAGGAGTCCCAACCATTGTGCTCCGTTTACTCTGCTCAGGGGTGATCTGAGCACAGAAGCCAAAATCAGCTGAGGAGGAAAAAAAAAAAAAAAGTATTGTTAGAGCCAGCTTGAATTATGAAACCAAGCAAAAGAAATCCCCGCTATATGCCTGAGAATGCATTGTTGAATCTGTCTGGAAAGGCAGCCATGCTCTGTTTACTCAGTGCTATGGCCAAGGAAATATTTGAATCGGCCACTTAAAAAAATCCCTCAAGTTTATTGCAGTGGCTTTTATTCACTTGAAACTTTAGACTGCAACTCCCTCCCTCTAGAAGGGACATACACAAAACCAAACCACTCTTTACACCTTTTTCCTTTCTATACCTCTCTGCATGTTGGAATTGTGCTCTTTGCTTGCAGCAGTGGTCAGTGCACTGCCACAGGCATCGCTTTTGGGTAACTGGCAGTCAGTCAAAAGCAGCCCCACACCATATCCTGGGAACGCTGTGCCTGACCAAGAATACCTACTCAATTTGACAGATCCGTCCATTCCGAGAAGAATATTGTCGCTTTTGATGTCTCTGTGAATCACTTGGTTTGAATGAAGGAAATCCAGTGCTTGCAGGCACTGACAGATAAAAAAGAAACATGAGGGTAAAAATTAATGACCTGATTTCATCACACAAGAAAGGAAATGGCTCTAAAAGATTTAATTTCTAGATGAATTGTGAGTAATGGCAGAATATTGTGCTGTCAGGAGGAATAGCTTGCTGCTTCAACATTATTAGAGTAATAACCTTCTAAATGAAGGCATATTAGCTTTTGAAAGAGAAATGTCAATTGTTGTTACAGACTACCCCCTGAAAGCACAGACAGAATGACTGCTGCTGCAATGAACGTGCTATCTCCATCCATATGACAAACTATTGTTTGCCAAAAAAAGAAAAAGTCCCTTCCTTCGGTACAAAGTGGATCACTTTCGGGTGGGAGGTTGCATGATAAAGACTTTATTGTTAGGCTCTACAGCAGATTTGGAAATAGCATGTTAGTAATTTTTCAGAAGCAAACACCATTTTGGGTGGAATGCATCCTTTTAAGCTGAGCACTGTGCTAAATGAGTCTCTCTTTTTCTTTGCTGTTATTTTAAAATAATTCTGCCACCAGCATGTTTGCTTTTACAGGCAAGGAATGCAGTACAGACATGCTCCAGGCAAATGTTTAAAGAGGCAAAGTTGAGAAGAATAAAACAAAAAAAAAAGCAAAAAAAAAGCGATAGTACAATAACAGTATATAAGAGTATAATAACAGAGTATATAAATGCAGTGATAGTGGCAAGCAGTTCCCTGAAGGTGCTTTTTCTTCTCCATATTATAAAAGCAACACAGAAACAAAGCTGTGAACATGAAATCACTCACGTAACATGAAATCACTCATGTTCTTGCCACCTGCTTAGAAGTACCATCCTGTCCAAGTAATCAGAAGCACACGGGATCCCTTACCTCCCTACAGACAGCTGCTATCTGTCCTTCATCCATACATGTCTCTGTAACAACATCCGTTAAAGAGCCTCCAGCCAAGTATTCCATAACCACCCAGAGTTCATCACCGACTAGGTAGCTGAAAGAAGAAACAATGGCATTGAGATGCATGCACACAGCTAAATTACCTTACAGTTGATCTTTGTTTCCAGGTCATATGTAAATGAAGACTGAATACAACGAACAGACATTCCTTCTTGGCTATACAGTAGTTAGAATCTGTGCGGTCTAAGTGAGAAAGGCACATAAGTGAAAAATTAGACATCGTAGATGGCAAGCAAGTGAAAAATGCAGTTTAGTAACGGCAAAGATAAATCTTGAACCAGGACATATCACATCATCTGGTTCATCATCTTAACACATAAATTCCATGATTAACTCCAGGAACAAGGCAGCACAACTTTCATAGTTGTCCACGGTAGGAGGGTGTGTACCACTGAGGACAGAAATTGGTCAACAGTTTGGAAAACCTTACATAAAATACGTTCAGAAACAGGAAAAACAATTTTAAAACTGACAAATTACGTGTTTCTGGAAACAAGAATCCAGTCTTCCTGGCATCCACAGCAATGGAAAATAGTGGGAACAGTCCAAGGGAAATAATTTCTATGATGATTTATCAGCATTTATCAGAAGACACAGAAAATATGATCAACTTTAAAAAAAACAAAACACCAAACCCCAAAGGAAACAACATGGAGGTAGTGAACTTCCAGGCTGTTGTTTTAGCAAGATACGGCTGCTCCGGGTTTTTGAAAACAGTCTTCCAACTATATATGCCAGAGAAGATTAATGCAGACAAAATGCAATCTCTTCCCACATGTTGTATGTGAGTAGATAAATAATAAAGAGCTAAATTTTCTGCCAGCGACCAAAGGATTTTTTTTAATCTTTGGCTTGCAGTATGTAAATGAACATTCACGTGGTAATACCAGAACTACTTACCTGTCTAAGTAGTTAACAATATTGGGGTTCTTATTTTCCCTCATGACTAGGATTTCATTAATAATTAGTTCCTTTTTCGGCTGTTGTTGGAGATTCATTTGCTTTATGGCGACCTAAAATTACATTGAAAACCATTAACTTGAGTAGTCTGTGGCACGAGATCAGAATGAACATGGAGTGAGTATTTCTGGAATGATGTAGCAGAGCTGTGCCAAACTGCCTTGTTATTAGACACAAGAGCTTAGTACCTTACATTACAACACCTTATTTCTCTGCTAGTTTGGGTGCTAGTTACAGGACACATGGGCATATACATTTTGCCTTGTAAAATCTGTAAAAATGGTCTTTAAACTATGAACCGCAAATCTCTAACAACACTCTCTGGACCTACATTCTTCTCAAATGGCCTTAGCTTATCACCGCTATTATTATTATTATTATTATTAATGCATGTTTTGCAAGCAGGAAGTGATTTTGTTACTGTGAAAATATATAAAAACAGCTGGTAATACTTTAGCAATTATATGATTTTTTGATCATTATTTCAGCAACTGCTGTTATTCTTGACTTGACTGCATAACAAAGAAAACACATATGTACATTACATATAAAAGGCCATACTAAAAAGATCATTAAGCTTACACAAAAAAAGTACAATCCCAGCACTTCCTAACTTCTTGAATTTTGACTTTGCAACTCTAAACAACAGTATTTGCAATTGTTTTCTGAGTGTAAAAAAAAAAAGAATCCATTCTACGGTATTTTATGGATACACCCAGGGTTATAAGCAGGGCTTAGGGCTTTTAGATCCCTTGTAGACCTCTATATGAGAGCAGTTATAAAGTGCAGCACTGCAGATGGATGAGAAACTGCCAGTAAGATTCAGATGTATTTGCTGACAGCCAGAAATGACAAATCAGAAATCTTAAGCCGTAGCCCCAAAGAGCAACAGGATTCTCTAAGACACCACTTCGTCTGTTTATTACTAATATCATCACTTTTGCTTTGAATCACTGTAGCCATCCTGCCTCTGCCTCATCCTGGCTCCTCCGCCCAGTCCCACCTTCCCCCAGGCAGCCACGGTCTCCCCTTGGGCTTTTCGTCCTGGCCCCCTTGCTGAGCCTGCTTCTGCCAGCCCCGTCCCTCTGCGCTCAGCCCTGCGTCCCTCCCTGCCATCCAGTTCAGCTCCGGCTAAGGACTCCTACGAAAACATCTCTCCCCAGCGGTCCCAGAAGAGCCCTCCTACCCGACATGCACCTTGTGGGGAGATGTGGCCCTGTGGTTATTTAAAGTCTGCCTCTTGTTCCCTCCATACGCGATTTGGCCAGCCTCCCCCTCTGTCTAGTCCTGCTCTTGACATGGCACAAAAGAGACCACTCTTCTGCTCTCATTCCTGGTTTTCCAGCCAGATTTTCAGGCAGGGTTTATATATATTCAAAAAACCTGGCTTGGAAAAGGAAATGCATGTTAAGATGCTGCTTTAAATCAGCCAGTACAGGGATTGTCAGAGTTAACACTGCTTTCCTTCAAGATTTGTTTCTCACCCCCCTGGCCCCTGTTTCCCTGTGACCAGTTCACGGGCTGTAATGGGCTGTTACTGACACCCGACCTAAACATGACTGATATTGTTTAGGAGAGATCTTTGGTCTTGATATACGTCTTCTCATTTGCCAGTGTGTGCGTCAACCAGCTTCAGTATGACTAAAACACAAAATTACGTCCTAAACATGATCTCTCCTTAATTAGGTCTTGCATTATACTATGAAGATGAAACACCTGATGGAAAAAATGCTAAGTAGTATTACTGTCTGGACCTGCGATTAAGATAAATTGGGACTGAATGACGGCAGCTAGTTGATGCATTAATATATTTAGTTACTAAAGACAGACCTAGTGTGTCCTTTTCTGAAAGATACCGCTTCCCTCCTTGCATTCTTCCTAGTAGTTACTAAGGACAAAGTCTGTCCAAAATTAAATGATATAATGAAGCTATTTATTCCTCACAGCAACAGGGGAATCTGTGACCACCCCAAGGGCTCTCCCAAGGCCTCTCATTATAACAGGTCTTTAGATTTTACAATTTGTATTGCTAACCAATTTATGGCCAGGTCTACAGGCAGATTTTATGCTGCAAACGTACAGAGTGAAGCTGTATATATAGACCAACATTCCCTGTAATAGCACAACTTCATGCACACTGGGGAACAGAGATACAACAATTGCTAAACTAATACATCTCCACTGGCAATAAAAATTATAGTTTTTTTCAGGCCCAAAAGCTTGGTGGGATTTCTTTACAGATTTCTCTCCATTAAAGTACCCATTCAGGGATGATATAATATGGTACCAGGCTGCCACCAACACCACTGTGGAGGGCACTGACCTGTTCTGAAGACAGAATAAGTAAAAAAATTCTCTTGCAATTGGCCTCAAAAGCTATGGGTGAAGCATCAGCCCAAGCAGAGAGCACCAAGGCTCTTACCAATTCCAGGGGGACCAGGACCTCTCCCCAGGAATTCACAGGCGTTAAACACCTCACTAATGGTTGCTGGAAAGTAGATGGTCACAGTAAGCATTCAGTTACTGAGGCACAGAACCACATTGCCCTTAAAGAGCTTTCACTGAAAAGCTGAAGACAGCAGATGATGTATTTTGCCAGCTGATGGTAGTCCATGCTTAGGAGGAACAGCCTTAGCAGAAGATGTATTTTGCAGGCTGACCCTAGTCCATACCTCAGAGGAATGGCCTTTGCAGTAAAGATCTCCTGGTGACCTGAAAGCCCCATCCACAGTTTGCACCAGAGGGGAAAGCACTGAATACCTGCAAAATCTCCTGCTGACACTTACCTCTTGTCCTGTGGCGATGTCAATTGCTGTATAAACAGTTCCTGATGCCCTAGAAACAAAACAGCAGTGAAGAAATAAGCAGCAGTTTAGTCCCTATAAGTGAAAGCAAGCCCAGACAGGAGATCTCTGCTGCCTGTAGTGTTTATAAAAACCCCCTTTGTTCATCCGCTCCTTCAGCCAGCAGCGCACAGCACAGCAGTCCACCTGCCCTCTGCCATGCAGGGTATCCAACATAAAACTTGTGTCCAACATGAAGAAAAAGGGCTGGTGCAAATCTCAAATGTACATACTAAATTATTTTAGTTCAAAATTTAAGGGGGGGTGTCTACAAAACCTGGAAAATAGTATATTTAATTACTTTTCCATTTTCTCCCGTTTTGCTTTGTTGTTTTGGTTTGGGTTTTTTGCGTGTGTTTTTCTTCCAGGGAATGTAACTTACAGAGTAGTTGTGCCTTTTCAGACCTCTTATTTGAATCCATCTGCAAAACTCAGGCAACACCATGCAGTCATTCTGAGAACCCTGAACATGTGTGACAGCCATTTGAGGAAAGGATCTAGACACAGCTTTCTCCAGCACGCAAGGAAACGATTCTCCAGCCATCCTGTGAGGTCACAACTACAGCAAGTTAAGGCATATATTGTTTCCTACACAAATAGAGAACTACTCAAAACCAGAGATCCTTAGACAGCATCTTTGTGTGTCGAGAGGCATCAGCAGCTGCTTCTGTTAGGTGCACAGGCACGTGAAGGGCTCTTCACGGTGCCTATGTTTTGCTTCTGTGGCAGACATGGGTTGTGTTGTAGAGCCACCATAAATAAATGGCGTGCCTACCTGCAGACTAGACAGTGGGGGGTTCTGTTTGCCATCTGCCTCTCGTTAAAAGAGGTTCTTCCCCCGTAATGATGTGAAGGGCCGGAAAGGCCACGATCAGAGGAAATCCCTTTGGCTTTAAAAGCAACCACGGGCTTGTAAACTGTAATGGGGTTTCCTTCTGAGCTAAACTGCAGGTTTACACTGCCATCATTTAAGAAGCTCGTGTCTGTATGGGCAGTGAGGCAAGGGAGAGCCAGGGCGGGAATTCTGAGAAGCAGGAACATGCATCCAGCCAGAGTCCCACTGACTGAAAATGCCCAAATCAGCTTGCTCATTTTTAAGTGATCCCCCAGCTTGTTTGTTTACCTGCAGGCTGAAGTATTTCTGAAGCATTTTAATTCAACAGGCACCAGAGACTGTATGTCTGTATTAAGAACAATGTTCTCATTGGGCATGCTATGTATTCTTGTAATATAAATGCAAATGCATTTTCCTATGACTAATTGTCGAGATTAATCCAATTTGTTTTCATAAAAAGCCAACACCATTTATTCAGACTTGCTAACACTGTGCTGTATCTCCTGAGAAAAGTACTGTCAGGTTTTATTTAAAAGCAGCTATTTAAATTAGGATGCTTTCGGTATGCTCCAGGCCATCTGTGAGGAGTTTAGATAAAGGTGAGTAATTTAAGTAAAGCTGTGAATTAATTGCAAGGGCTCTGCGATTCTGCATTATGAATTTTTACTTCTAAGCAACTATAATTTCTGATCTGTATCTAACTTTTAAACACTTCTGTAATATCTTGGGTTTCATGCAGTTAGGCAAGTACCAGGGTGCACAATTAGATCTGTGTCACTGTGATGCAGTGCAGTACAAATTAAAAAAACCAACCTGAACCCAGGCTGCGCATGGCTCCATATTGATTTGTCTTTCTAGCAAGAGCTAACACTGCTTGAGCAAACACAGCCTCTTTATCAAGCACTAGTTAACCAAGTTTCCTCTGGTGGCATCAGCATTTTCAGTCCTCAACTGAAGACAGATGACAAACCAGAGACTCAGCACTGAAGCTGACCTGTTCTTCAGCACAGGCCTGCTGACTACTGCTCACTGCAAAGTGCCTGTAAAACCATCACACTGTTTAACTTCCCAGCTGTATGAAGCCACGAAGTGCTATGTGCTGGTCAAGTTGCTTTTCCTTAACTAAGAAGTTGCCCTCTACCTGCAGATCTCGGAGCAGCCACGTCTCTTGCTGCCTTGCAGTGCTCTCATTAGCAGTTACTAAAAAAACTACTCACTTTGAAGACTACCAGCGCCTTTGGCATAACTGTACCCAACTCACTGCAAAGGCGGGCAGCTCAGGAACTGGCACCTGCCTCCACTAAGCACATCAGCACCATCCCAGGCAGTGCATCTCAGCCCAGCCCTGCTGCAGACAGACACGCTAACCCCAGCCATACAGCAGTCTGGTTCCTCCTGATCATCCTGTTTGATTACCTTTGTGATGATTTTTTTTTCCTTAGGATCTTTCCCCATCACTGTAAATTGACCTGCATTACAGTCATGAGCTGGTTACGGCAGCACACTCCTCCGTAAGAAGGGCATGCAATCTTCAGGCTGTACTAAAAGCTGGAGGAAATCAATTTAGATACCCTTTTAGGCCAGATATTAACCACTTGTCTTTCCACCAGTTATAGAGGCACCTTTGTACAAGCTCACTCCTAGGACTGTCAAAATAAAAGATTGTGAGGGTGATGGTCATATTCTCACGGTGACAGCAATAATCTGCTTCACACACATGTTTATTCTGACACTCACTTCTTCAGTTGACACTTATCTTTTGAGAGACTGGCACAGCTCTAAGTGTCCACTGACATTTTACAAATGACAGTAAGAACCAAAGATTCAGGTAGAAAGCAAGCTGGAATCTGAGCAAGGGTTTTTATACAACGAATGGAGCAGAAACACCTTCCCACAAGTGCCCTATCAAATACGGTATATTTATGATAAAGCCTGCCAGAGAAAGAGCATGAGTGTGTCTGGCTTTCTGCGGTACATATCAGTTCTAGGTCAGCAACATGCTATCCTGAGTTCAAACCTCACAAACAGTTAAGGCAGAAAAACATCTCCCGATGTCAGTAAGCATACACTGACAGCAGCGTGATCTTGGTGTTACACAAACGGTGCTAGCCCCCCTGGAAGTACAACACAGCCAAGGAAACTTTGGCCGAGCAGGGAGTTTGTCCATATTTAAAATGCAAGTGAGGTACCTAATTTTGATGTAATTTCTTTTGTTCTTGCCTCCTCACATAGGAAGTATTTCAAATCAATCCTATTTACAGTAAGCAAAGTTGGGTTTCAAAAGGGAATAGCTTGGTCGATTCTTTTCAGTAAATGCCTAAAACCTGCCGGATCCATGAGCGGTCTGCCATCAGGCAGATGATGCATTTTCTCATCAAGTACTTTGTGCATCGACATTGTGTTTATTACTGAAGTTTTGGGTTTTACTACCTATGCTAGAAAAGAGAGCTTATTATTTAATCCCCGGGTTCAGTTTCTAAACTATGTGGTTATAATCCTGATCACTGAATATTTTTAAAGCAAAATATTTGAAAGAAATGTCATTGAAAACTGTTATTTATCTGACAACTATCAGGTGGTAAGTTGCTCTTTTAGGCAATAAAGTTTTTTCCTCCTTTCCTTAGCGTGGCCGTATTCTTTTGAGACATACAAAAATGATTTCTCCTAAGAAACTAAGCAATCAGTTGCCACACACTTGAGGGACAGCAGATCTTCAAGGTCCTGCTCCTTGCTGCAGACAAGACGCTGCCAGCATCAAGCTGTCTTTGATGATGCCTTCTGACCAGAGTTATAAATTCTGATCAGTACTGAGAGACAGGATAATCTAAACCCAGTGTCTGAACATGTCTGGACCTTGCCCAACTTCACGCCTGATGTTACTCCAGCAAAATACCTGGCCCATGTTTTTGTATAAGTAACTGTGACTGGACTTACCCTTGGCCAATTTTTTCAAACCGAGTATATTTCTTCTTAGGATCTCCCACGCTCACAATGCTCCCTGAAAGAAACAAAATTAAAGATGCTCACTTAAAAATGGAGATATCACCTTCCCGCAGATCAGAAATGCAGCCCCACTGTCTGGGGTTGTGAGCTGTTTGCAGTCAGCTGGGTACCACCACCACCACAGGCAGCTCCATAGCACAGATGGCCTCCACGAAGACTGATTTTCTTTGGAGACTTATCTTGACAGGGAACTGAGAACATGGAGCAACATCCGCAGGATACAGGTATCAGAAAAGAACAAGTACCAATGCAAGTGTTTGTTGTCTATAGAGAGCTGGAACAACAGAGTCTTTATTTTCGTAGGAATAAATACACTGTGTTATTCAACAGAAGGCTTAATACTTCCAAAGATTAAATGCACCTTGGGTTTTGGAATCAATTTTTATGAACAGGTGCCATTTTCAGAACAGGAAGAATACTGCAAAGTGTTTCCAGGAGGGGATCTTCTCAGACTTTCAGCAGTTTGCCAAAAGAATGCCTTTATGTTTTTAAAGAACAGCATCTCATATTATAATCAATAATTAAGGGGCTTTAAGAACCATGACCCTCGTCATTTATTACCAGGTTAAGTTCTGAAGATGACCTTGTGCCATTTAAAGAACCACACTGCTTGTCTTCAACCTGACTCGGATCAGTAACTAGCATTTGACTCGCACTCTCAACACTGCGCACACGCTGATTTTCACGAACAAGCACAGCCGTGACGGGTAAGAACAACAGCAATATTCCTCAGGCGCTAGTGTTACACAGACAGCTGCACAAACGAGATGCTGATAATTTCATGAGTAGAGGTGATGCGATTCAGGCCAGATGGGGTGCTGCCGCCTCCCGGCAGCTCTTCGCTGCAGCAGCGGGAAGGCAGGGCCCGTCCGGCACAGGGTGTGGGACACCCCCAGTCCCTCAGCCACTGTGGGGCTCATCTGCCACTGAAAGTCGAAATTAAAGCACGCACTGCTTGGTGGCTTCTTGCCCACTTGGAGGGGCAGACAGTCTGAACGGGAAGGAAAGAAAGCAGTACTTAGGATACTGTGTTTGTGTCGAATGAAAGAGCCAAAATCTGCAACTCAAACATATCTTTCTGGTCTGGTAGTTTCCTAGATAAAATACAAACAATGAAGCCTAAGGTGATGGCTCAATGCAAATGACTTCCAAAGATTTAACTTGGAATGTACATCACTGAAATACTTTAAGAAGATTTGTTCAGTAGGAAAGACTTCCAATGTTTCACAGCATATACTTTTGACTGATCTGGCAATATTCCTGTATCACATATATAAAGGCATACTTCTTTGTTCACTTCTGCGTCCAAAACAAAACTAGGTGATGTGCCATTCACTGTAAGTAGTAACAAACACCTCTCTCCCCTGTCCAGGCCATTTCTCTGGAGCAGAGGGTGTTAGCATCCAAATAGGCATCTGACTGGATGCATAGCCAGGAATCCTGCCTGCCAGCACCGCAAGAAGACGGGGCATCAACGCCATCTGGTACACTCCCTGCTAAAACAATTTTGCTGGCCTTGGCAAGATCGCTAATGGGAGCTGCAGGAGAAGAGGTTTCCTTTGCCCCGTGATACTCGCTCCCCTCAGCCGGCACTCCAGAACGCCAGCCAGTGCCCGCTGCCGATGGCACCGGGAGCACCTGCCTGCTGCCCTGCTGTGTCAGCCTGCAAGAGTTAGAGTAATGGGATTGCCTGGAGTCCAAGCCAAGGACGTAACGCTTTCAGGATCTGGTTAACTTTTCGTAGTTTCATCTCACTGAAAAGTATAACGTAAGATGAAGCTTTCACTCTGCTTCCCTATAGTGGGTCTCCACTACAAAATAACTCTTCATCCAAGACGAATATGACCAGAGGACTCTGGGACTCCCTTTTAACTGACTGGAAGAAGGGATGCGAGACGAGCAAGCATACCCTCCCGCTCACACTGCTGAGCTTAACCATCCCCAGCCAGGGATCCCCATGAGACTCTGCGGTACTAAACCAAACACTGCCGTAATCTGGTGTTGGGCTGGACAACAGAAAAAACACTGTCTGGCAGGGTGCTGTTTTCAGCTAGTCAATGGAACTGTAGATCTATCAGATCTATGTGATATCAGAACAGATATCAGAAGTTCATGGAAGTTCATGTTAGAAAAGAATAAAGAAAAAGACTGCAGAACAAATATTTTGAAAAATAATCTTCCAAATTTGCCACTGATTTTGCAGTTCAGATTTCTGGAGTTTTTCCTCAAAACTTGAGTAGCTGTTTTCAGAAATTAGTTGTTTGTGGCTGGCCTCCTGTGCTTAAGCCAATGCACATCAAATAGGACAGCACTAAAATCAACAAAGTGACTGGTAGCGGCTCCAGTTCAGAGAAGCACTCCCTACTCTGGACAAAATATAAACATATCAGTTATTTGAATGTCTTTAAGCACTTTATCAAGTCCTAAATTAAGAGGGTAAGAAAACAGAATTGGGCCACTTCTGGTTTATAATTACAGTGGAACATATTCATGATTTCATTACAGACAGAATTTTGTTTGATCTTATCTCAGTATTACAGGCTATACTCCCTAGTAAAACTTGTAATGAAAGCAGCTCTAAAAAAACCCAAGCAGAAAAGAATTACGAAGGCAATTTAAGATAAAAGACAGCATGGGACATCTTCCTAAAAGTAGCATGAAATCCATTGGGGGGGAAGTAGGCAAGGTGGAGAAGTCATAGGAGTTAAAACAAAAGAAAACAAAACAGAAAAAAACCACACATGCTTAAATATAATTAGCCCAGGACTATAACAAAAAAGCATCACCCCCATTTTCAGATAGCTTCATGAAAGCACAAAAAGATTTTCATTGTCCACATCACAATTTGCCCAAGGCAGACCTTCAGACTTGCTCACTTGGTATCAAATTCTTAAGAAAGAAAAAGCATGAAAGCATCTAACATTTCAAAGATATGACCCACAATAACTCAAGGGTTCAGTCCTAATCTGGCATACACAGAAGCCTGAATAAAGGATACGCATACTTACATTCGTGTGTGCAGGGTACCTGCAGATCTCATGGTGGAAGCCTGCCTCAAACATTTAGCCTCAGCTGAAGAAGCTATAATTCCTCCCTTTGCAAGCTGATATACCTGCAGGTAACTATCTGCTCTGGAATTTATTTCATTGAGCCCTCAGCTAAAGCTATTGAACTTACCCCTTGGATATGCCCTAATGGCACTGAGATTTAGTTTTTTATAGTCCTGTCAACCTGCTAAGGGTGCAGAAAACTCTACACAAACAGCTGAGATCTCACAGCTAAGGAAGGTTTCAGCCTCTGCAGTCACACCAGCCATCCGAGGCAAGGCAGGTATGACAAAAAGGTTGGTATAGCACACGAATGAGCATCATCAACCACTGTGAAGAACCCACAGCCAGAATGCATCCCTTTACAAGCAGTTGCCCCCATTAAAGACAGAACGTTACCGGCTTTGAGATCAAACACAAGGAGCTGTAGATCAATCCACTTTTTGTCCGAACAGCTAACGGTAGACACAGAATAAACTGGGCTATGTTATGAACCCAACAATTTATTACCCGAGAACATAGCACTGGTAGCTATTACGTGCAAGAAGCAGATTAAATTGGTTGTACTGCAGAATCACAAAGGGCTTGACGTGTTCTCCTAGAGTATGATCTGCGCAGGGGTTTGGGGCCAATGGTTAGGATTCTAATAGTATTAACGGGTTGGGAACTAGCTATGACAAAGAGCCACGTATCTGAGGAATATACAGTGGATGTGCTGCAGGCTGGCTCCTCAGAAATGCCTGCAGTGCAGTTTTCCCTGATCACGCCACATAGATGTGTCTCTTTGATACATCTTTATAAGCATAAATCTATGAAATAAAATAAGGATTGTTAGAAAAGTGGGTTTTTTTTTCTTTTGGGGCATGTCGAAAACACCTCTTCCTCTCTATCCATGGTGTCAACTGATGTTCTTTCAAAGGAGTTCTCTCTGACAAAAATGTAGAATTCTTATAAAAATTAACTCTGATATATTAGTAGAAGTAGTAATAGTAACAACAATCATAAAAATGACACTAGTAGAATATCTGGGGCAGGAGAGCTCCTTGAGGCTGAAGGAACCTGCTTACTGCTGTAGTTGTCTACTGGTAAAAAAAACACAAAACAAAAAAAAAAAACCAATAGATTTCTGCAAAGTATTTTGGCTCCAATGACTGGTGAGAAGTCAGGAGTCTAAATAGAATTTAGGAACCCAAATCTTCTGTTCAGTTTGGCCATTAGCACACAGGAGTTCACTAGGTCATTCACTAGGTCACAGCCTTCTGCTCAACGAGAAACAATCTCTGCTTTTGCCTTTAGCGCAAAAGGAAGCTCAGGCAAATCCAACCCAGTCATAGCTGCCCTCAGAGGCAGAAGGAATACCCAGACTGCTCTCTCGCTTACTCTAGGCACAGTAACAGTTTGTGTAGCGAGTTGTAAGTGACTTTGTGACACTAAACCGAGGATGAACATTTGGTACATATAATCCTGAGACATGCACACAGTGCACTGCTTTATCAGACAAGAAATCGAGAATACTTACTCAGTTTCTCTAGGATCTCCTCATCTGTCATCTTGGATTTTTTTCGCTGCCGGTCTGTGTTTCTGTACAAAGTGTTTGTGTTTGAGTTTTCAGGTTGGGGAGTGGTGGCTTCCTTAGCTGGTGCTGGTGCAGCGGCAGGTTCAATTACAGAGCGTGTGTAGATCTGTGACAAGAAATTATTTTGTATCAGAAAGGTGGCTTGCAGAGATGCCCCTGAGATCGTATTTCAAATGCAAACCCTTAGGAAGATGCTGTCTGCCACATCCAGGGCTCTTAAAACGTTTGATTTTGCTGCCCACTTCTCAAACTGAATGGGCAAGAATGAAAGGCTAGTTTTACACAAGTTCATGGCCAGTTTAATTTTCAATTTTCATTGATTTTCTGAAAGATGATTGAAACAATAAATTTACTGTGTTGCAAGGATACAGAAATAGATCTGTCCAGGGCCTAGAGCCTTGTTCCTTGATGCTCTTCCATTTCCATGGGTAACAAAATGGCTCTTTAGTTGGCATGTAAGTGTCTGAATAGAAGCAGGGGGCATTTCCCTTTTCTGATCATAACTGTTGAACTACCTTCTCATCAATATTTCAGGCTTTAGGGACTGGCTATTAGGAACCGCGTTCCAGCCCTTCAGAGACCTATCTTCTCTCTACAACGCATAGCTGCAGAGGATTCTTCTCACCGAACTTCAGTCAAGTAGAAGTTCAGGGTGTAGTCTAAGCTGTTCATTCAGCTGCTCATACAGTCTGTGGAGAGGGACGGGTGCCTCCAGGGGACAGTTTCTCCTATGTATCCTGCAATAGTGTGAACTGTGTCTGATGACCGCTCTCCCTACTGATGACAGAGAGCCTACACAGATACTTTGGACAAAGTTGCTCACTTTTATACCGGTAGCATTAAAAGACACAATGCTACCTCTTACGTGATACTAAGATAAATTCACAGTCCCTATCAGAATCACAGGAAACTCATGACTAAATGTGAAAGTTCAAAACAGATTTTCCTGCTGTCAGTGGCTGGAGTGAAGCACTATGCCACGGCAGCACTCCAGCCTTCAGAGTCTTCATCCATGAACGGCAAGTGCAGTCTGCTCAGAAACATGCAGCTCTGAATTACACCAAATACAGTGCTAACCAAAGTTGGGACTTACTGATTTTGTATGTTCAGGCCGTGGTGCGATAACCGGTGGAGGTTCATTGTCATCTTCTTCTTCTTCATCGTCTTCATCCTCTTCTTCAGAAACAGAGGGAGCTAACGGGGGTTCTGACGCTGTTTTTGTGCTCTGGGGACAGACAGCAGCATGAGTGACAGTCACCACTTTGGCACTTGGGAGGTTTGATAATTACACACAACTTTAGTCTGCTTAGACATCAGAAACCAATCTAGACATGCCTGTAGTCCTACAGACTTCAGTTCTAAGTTACGCATAGCACAATACAATTTAAAGGTTACAAATTACCGTGGTGTTTTGTTAATTCATCTTGGTGTTTTTCATTTTTGCTAAAAACAACTACATCATTCCCATGCATAGTCAAAGACTAATTTCACAAAATGTTATGCTTGAATGGATCACTAGAAATCACATCTAGTTGCTGGTTAATTGCTTTGGCATTGTGTCTACAGAAATGGTAACAGTTAATTAAGCTAACAGGTGTCTACTGGCTAGGTTAATTAACACACTTCAAAGTGCAAACCCTCCTTTGTCGTCTTGCTGGGAATTTGGTTCTGGAGAGAAAGGCTATTTGTTTCTTTACTATTTTACCCCTGGGGTAATCATATTGCCTGTTTCCACAGTGCTGAATTTCCCTAGTTAGTAGCTCCTTTTTCAGCACCATCCTCCCCTTTACCTAACCATAAGTTAACACATTGATCTTTCCACTGTTTCCCTGTTTCCTACCGCAGCAGTAACAGCGAGAGCCTGCAGCCCTCTCAGCAGCAAGGTGCATCCAGCCCACCTGCCCAGGGCTGCAGGCAGGCATCCCGACTGCTCACCCAGGCTCCCCTTGCAGGCAGCGGAGAACAAAAGCCACTGCCAGGGTGCAGCCGACCTTCAGGCAGGCTCCAAATTCGGGGTAGGCAAGGGAAGTCTGCCTGATCAGTGGTCTACATGTAAACTGAAGCCTACAGAGCAGGTACTTAAAGTTAGGCAAGTTGAACCCCCCGCCCCAGCACTCCCAGCTGCTACTCAAAGGCAGGGGGTTGTCACAAATTTGTTGTCACAAATATCATGTTGTCACAAATTTGCTGGTGAAACAAATAACTGAAAAGGTGCCTTTTTAAGTGTTTAACAACGGCTTTAAAGCTGGCTACAACAGGCCACTTAGAGAACTGAAGCAAATCAAAGGCACTACTCTACATATTCACATCTCATTTGCCTTATCTTTAAAATGGCATCAATTTGGTCCAGCATAAGTATCAGTAAGGGACAGCCCACAGGGGAGACCTGACCTTCACACCTGTGTATTGCTGCCTTAAGTCACCTGTACTTGAACACACTGTCATATAGATACACACACATAGAGTATCGTATGTGCTGTGAGACTCAGTTTTGTTACCGAACTTTTAAAGGTAAATGGTGAAACAGGCTACTAATCCAGCCGAAGTAGAGAATGATACATTAGACATTCTAAACACCAGTTTGAGGGCCGACTTTGTCAAGCAAAGGTGAATGTTACTTTGCCATACATTAGATCAGCGTATAGCTTTCCATGCATCATTAGAACTTTGCTTACATGGGGACAGAAGATGATAAAGGGAAAAATAAAGAAGGGAATAATCACGTTTCTGTTATGTCAAATTCTTACAACTATTTTTCCCACTGGGCTCCATGCTTGGTCTCACAGCACTAAATGGTGCAGCTACAACATATACAATGTCATATTATTTAATGCCAGACTCCCATTAAGGAGTGAAATGAAATTAAAGTAATTCCAATGACTACTCGATCCTGTCAGAGAGTTGTTTTTCCTGTACCATAACATTCAACCAGTATCCTCCGAGTTGGTAACTTTCAAAAGCTGACAACTTGACTGTCTCACCACCATCTATGTCTGCTAGAACAAAATGCCACAGCATCTGCCAAGTGTGTTCATAGCCATGGGAAATGCTATTGGAAAGGCCTACTATCCTCTGGTGAACCCCAAACTTCCTTTTAAAAGTGTGTTTTGTTAAAGATAATGAAAGTGGCATTACTGAAAATCTGAAGTGTGAATATTCAAAGATGATTTTAATTTCATTATACACACTCTCTGTGGTGTTATCACAAACCCAAAATTAAGTTGCTTAACACTTGAAAATAAAGGCCAAATCCCCATTCAGTCATTTGCTATTTAATTCACTAACATTAACACTAATAAATCTGGTCAATATTAATGTGGATGTCATGACTACATCTCTGGGATTGCTATGGCAATCCAGTATTAATTAGAGTGGATGATTATTTAAAACTTTCTTTCAATGGTTCCAGTGAGTTACATATCAATTATAACCTTATTTATATTCAGCTACATATCCAGCCATACTAAGGATAAATCATAAAATTTAATAGAAATGGATTCCAAGTTGTTAAAACTAAATTAAAATGGGCTAATTAGACAGTACAGCATATTGTTGCGAATTATATATTCCGCCACGGCTAAGAACAGCAAGCAATCTTCTGTCTGCAAAACTAGACTTTCATTTGTTTAAAAGCTCTTAAACAGAAAATTAGAAAACAGCCAGTGATCCCTTTTCTGCTGCCACAAAGACACTAAAATGTATTTTCTTTCAGCCTATAAGGCTGGCACTCTATCACAAAAGGCAAAGCTCACAGCTTGCTCCACAATTCTTAAACACTATGAAACTAGAAAGGTTACTTTCACACTCACCGAAGGATGAGCTTCTATGTATCCATGAGCGCTTTTATCTGCAATGTGAAGGGAAAATTAACCAGATGCTGTTGTAAAACTGCCTGTTTTGGGGAACCCCACAGAACAGTAAATCCAAATAGATAGTATTTTTTGTTCGCAACATCCCTCCAGTAGCAACAGTCATTTTACATAGCAAGCAACATAACAGGGCAATATACGAGGTTATTATTTTTCTACAGTTTCCTGCATCTATTTTTTGCCCTGTTTTGCTAGTAAATAAAATAAATAGAAACTTTGTCAAGAAAATGCAAATTGTTCTTTAACAGTCAATGCTTCAGTTCCGCCCAAGAGATAAAGCAGCTGCTTGCTTTTTTTTTTTTTTTAAATAAATTGCATGAATTGGTTGTCTTAAGTTTCCTGAAAATGTTTCCCCATAAAAGCTTCCCCAAAATCCCCCTCAGCCGTGGCAGTTCTGCTCTGACATAGCACAGTAACAGCTCCTGAGTTCAGGAGCATACACTAACTGTTTTGAATTTTGCATTTCATCACAAAAGTAACTGCTATTTTAGCAAACATTGTGTCAGGTTAGACAGTCAAATCTTTAAATTATGGAATTTAGAAAAAAAAGATGCTTTCCCTCAAAAGAAGATAAAAGTTAGTAAATTCTGGAGATAACTGCAGTTTTTGAAGGATTTCTGAGAAGCTCTCCCAGTCTGCATTTTGGAAGTTGTATTGGTTGAACCAGCAAACTGAGGAAATTACAGACTCCACTGCCACAGACTATCGTGCGTAGGGAACTGAACCACTGCAGGTTAAATTACAAATGCTGTCCACACCCTGTTGGATAGAGACACCCCCTTATTAGCTGAAGCTGTTGACATGAGCTTTACCAAACTAATAGCATCTTAGAATCATAGAATCATTATG